TGAGATGCGCACTGCTGATGATTCCCAATAAGGATGAAACAGCTGTACAGTGCTCCTCGGCTTTTCAGCGTAGATTGGCTTCACTGACAGCACGAAATCTCCACAAAATTCCCAAATCTCCTGACACTACCAACAACAACAATGGATGAAAAATTTAATTCATTAATACTTACAACAAGCTTTATAATGCTTTATAATATAATATCAACTCAGTATTATACGCTATTCATGTTTCCATTCCCAGGTGCACATATCGAATACTTTGACGGCAGCACATACGCTCACCGAATTCTGCTTTGCATCATAGTCTAAACGGGGAAGAAGCAACCGCGACTCGCTCCCTCAACACGGTAGTCAGGACACAAGTTTATTCTTCGTATAGAGCTGACCATGGTGGTTTATGATGACTGGGAAACGCGTATGAATATGGGCAACTCATTTGGTTAACAGTAGCATAGTCATCATACAAATTGGTACAGATTAAAAATAAATGCTTTTGTGCCTTGCGAACAGAAGTACACTTGATCCACGGGGTGTGTACACCTAGAGCCACGTTGTCGTGCACTACACTCAATTACTAATATTTAGAGAATTTTGAGAATGGCCAAACTGGACACATGAAATAATATCAAGTGTTCCAGTCAAAGAGCTCATGTAGACCAGTTTACGGAGGACATTTCATAAATACATATCCGGAAAGATTTGATAAAATCTCTGTCGTGTTTGTGCGGAGAATGACAACCCATTAGGTTGTTATAATAAGCAGCATTTTGTTCCTGGCCCGTAATTTGCCCCTGAGAACCCGCACGAAGTTTTCATTTATGTTAAAACATCAAGCCTTATTCCCTGTTTAAGGTGATTCTGTAAACTTGTGATAATTTTAATTGCATATCTTGTAGACAAAAGCACTAATGTGTACGCTTTGAGAGTAATGATTCATCATTGTTCCACTAAATATTGTTGAAGCGCTTACATTCCTTTTCGTTATTCACTGGATAAGCAAATCGTATGCAACAAACATACAAAAATCTAGCATGTGTTGTATTTTAGCAGAGTCTAGTTTGATGCTTTCGTTTGTTTTTTGAAGAGCAAGGGGACATCAGCTTTCCCTCAATAGGACAACCAAATTTGGTACCCCTTGGTGTCTACAATATCAGAGTAATTATTAAAGGTGCGTATCTCGGGCGTCAATGAAAGCTGTCAGCTACACATAATGGCTGATATCCCCCAAATTGGAAAATGCAGCTCGTGGCTAGTTAAATGATTATTTTTTCCCACAGTGCGTCCCAGAGAACCGCAAACAAATATTTCCTGATCAACATAAGTTTTTGCATACAAAATCAGTTGAATCGCTCTTGTCATTAAATTTATGCTGCTATTAGTCCTCCTTCTTCGTCCCTTCGCACAGCATCGCTAATTCGCACTCCGTTCTGTCCGTAACTTTGACTTGAATTTGATGAAAGGAGTCTTACTTGGATACTCCTGTTGGTTGACATCAGGTTTTATATTTTCATGAGAGAACGCACCTCCTTCTTGAGCCTCGGGAATGGCAGATGCAGGGGCTCTGTCACCACAAGTAATAACTCTATCCTCCGAATAGAACCCACCTACATTCGGAAGACGGGTAATGCCCTGTGTCGCTTGAATCGTACCTTATCTAACACTCTGCTACTAATGTCGACTAAGG